GTGGTCTAAGTACATTGTCGGTGGAGTCCAGTTTGGATCCTCCCATTCAAAGGCAAACAAGTATTGGGAACAGGGCCCCGTCTGGCTTGAAATAGTTTCCTGCCTAGAGCAGAGCAGTTTAGCAAGTAGTCTTCAGCTATGACCCACTATCCAGGGGCTCTAAGTTCCAGTAAGTTTTGGTGCAAGCCATTACAAATAAGGGACGCAGGGCTTGGTTGTCATCAGAGAGTGAAGCAGTTTAAAATAAAAGAAGACAATTTATGTGAAGATAGGGAAGGAGGAAGAGAGATGACAGAAAGCTGTTCTGAATGAGAAGGGAGAAATCAAAAGTGAATTGCTGCTTTGGGCTCTTTTTGTGGAGATCTTTGTCCCATGTAGGCTCTTTGAATCTGACTGAGTCCTGGCCTGTCTTTCATCCTAACCTTGGATTTCTTCTCGCCATGTGACCTTTCCCTGTCGTGTGGTAGATCTAGGGTGAGATTTTTAGGTGGGGGCCTTATGAACAGGGAGTTCAGGCTGAAGGGTTAAGTGAAGGGGAAGTTTGTGATTCTTAAATGAATTACGCTACCTTGGAACTTCCAGGCACTGAGTTCTTTACCTTTGTCTTCCTAATTTCTAGAGTTTAGCTGCCTTGTCTTTCTGATTCCTCAGAGTCTAGCTGCCTTTACCCTTCTGATTTCTGGAGTCTGACTGCAGAGGTCAAGAACTGCCTCATTAATTTTTAATAAAGCTCCATGAAGCCTTCATCCTATCTTTTCCCTACCTACAGTGCCCCTGCCCCTATAGTAATATATACATCTTGACGAGCTTATCAGAAGGACCATAAACATCGCCTCTCAGTTTCTGACTACTTTATTATTGTTGTTTTTTTCCAGTTGTTACTAATTTTAACTGTGGCATACACTCTGTAAGGTCACAGGAATATTACATGCTTAATGGGATAACGTGGATTGGCTTCTTTAAAAATTGAATTATATACCTAGGATATTTCCATATTCTTCATTAGTTTCATGGTAGAATTTTACAAATAATCACTGAAAACTTGTTAGGGAACATAAATGTAACTCCCAACCTGCTAGATGTCAGATATCCTGAGCTTGTGTTCCTCAAAATTGAAGAATGAATTCTAAGAAACAGTGGAGGTTAAGAGTAGGAAAATTTTATTGAGAGAGAGCTCCTGAGAGACAGGAGGGAACCTGAAAGTGGGTTGCCAACAAGCCTTCTTCTCAAAGGAAGTTACATAGAGCAAAACCACAAAGCGGGTACAACGTGGGACAGAATTACGATGAACCAAATAAGATTGCAAGTATAGCTGCTTAGGTAATACTGATCCAGTGGGGAATGGGGCATGTAGCAAGTGCACATGGAAAGAACAAAGACCTTCTTTAGGAAGGGGTGAATAAGGGGGTCTTGGTCGCTCACTGGGGTGACTGATGTTTATCTAGACTTTCCTGGATCAGGAAATACCAGTTATCTTACCGCTTGGGGAGGAATGCAGGCCTGGTCATAAACAGGCCTCCAGCCACAGTTGTAATGTGTTTTCGTCTGTAGTGACCTCCTTGAAGACCTAGCCCTGTCTGACTAGCTATAACAGTTCTACCTAACTTAGCTGTCTATAATATCACCACCCTTAATTGTATGACTCATCCTAGTTCTTGGCCCTACAAAAAGCACACAGCATTTTCTGAGTCTGCATTTTGACTTTTTTGGGTATTGGCTATTGAATTTGGGTCCCCCCCCC